TGAAGATCATCTGGGCCGGCTGACTTAAAGACGTCCAGCCCCTTTTAGCTTTTAAGTTGAGAGAGCAGCTTTAACATTGTGTTAATGCAAGGGCTTTGTATTTAATTTTGTAGGGTTTGGCTGTATTCTACAAAAGACAAAATTCACCTACTTCCTCCCAATACTCCTTGGCACTCCATGCTCTGCATATTCCTTTTACTCCACTACTCTTACTTTTCTTGAATAGAGACACTGGTGTGCCATATATCATATTTGCACTATTGTTGCCATGAAGGCATCCAGTAGTCACTGTGAGTTTGGACCTCCCATTAAGGATGAAGTCAGGCAGTAGTTTTCAGACCTGCTCTCTAGTCGTTGCTTTCAGATTTATGCAGAACCAGGGGTACAAGGTAAAAAAAAAAAAAAAACTGTAATGAATGTAATATCCAATGATCCAGTATTTTTTTTTAAACCCCATCTTGTAAAGGAATACGGGTCGTAGGGAGCTGTCCAGGAGGAGACGACAGGCAGAGCTAGACTGTACCCTATGCTGAAAAGACATGAGAGCGTCTGGCCCTGAAGGTGTGACCGTCTAGAGCAGCAATGATTCAATTGTCCATGGAAGCAATTAAGGTGTGAACAAGTGATTTAGGCATCAGGAGAGTTAGAAAGGCCTTCTTTTTTACGTATGTCATGGTGAAAGAATAGCAGCTACAGTCAGAAAGGAAGAGATTTTTTTTCTGTTTAGATACAAAGGGCCAGCATGTACCTCAGACGCAGCCCAAAGTTGAGCTGCCCTATTGTCATCAGTTTCCATAGAAAGAACAATTTCTTCTCTGCTCCTCCCTCACCCCTGAAAGGTAACTGCCCTCTGTCAGCAGTAAAATACTGCACTGCCTCTCCTCTGAATTGCCTAAGGGGCACCAGGTTGGAAACAAGGCTATACTGAACTCAGCTGACACCTGTGTGCCCAGACACAGGATCCTGGTAGGATGGAGTCTTATTCTCCCTCTGATCCCTGTGTGGAAGGCTTGTTCCAAGTCACAAAAACTAGCCCTAGAAAATTTGTCATTAAAGTGGTTTAAAATGCTTTATGCTAAAGCATTCCTGTAGGCGTGCATGAGCAGGGAGGCACTGCCTGATAAAAGGAAGACCTTTTCTTTAAAAACACATATCCTTGTAAAATAATCCATGTTTATCTCTCAAGCACAAGCGTATGGGCCAGGTTTCTTTGGCATGATGCACAGCTTTGGATAAACTAACTTAATGTTTAAGCTGGTTTCCAGGTTGGGCGTGCTGCCACAGTTTTAAAAGACATTTACATTATTTTGGCAGTGCTCCCGCTGTAGGGCTGGCCAGTTGTTTTTGTAATTATAGAGCACAGTATGCTAGCACTTGGCAAAACACAGCATTCAACAGCAGAGCATTGCCAGAGCGCTCCACAGGATTAGCTTTGGAGTCATTCTTTGACTGCAAGAGTGTGACTCACTGTTTTCTTTTTAAGAGAATATTTACTGCCTGAACACAGTAGTGTTTATTCAAGGAGGGAGGACCTGGATTTTTCCTAGAAATCTCAAGGCACCTGGACAGCTAGCTTCAAGCGTATAAAACCAAAGTAGAATTTTACATGCCACTGATATCTTATTCACTCTATAAACTGAAGATTGAACCCAGCTCTTAGACACATGAGTCCAGGTCATCCACACCCCATAGACCCACAGGTCTCTCCTTCCCATGCAGAAAGGGGCATTAAGTACTGTGCTCTTCCACACCATCCTCTCCCCTCCCTCCCAGTGGAGATTTGGATTGAGTTAAGGGGCACCTCATCCTTGTACCAATCCTGCAGAAAAGCCACTGAAACAGGGGGGGTGCCAGCCTGCAGCATGTGTGCCACGAGTGGCACGGGCAGCCTCTGTGTGTGGCCTGCAGCAGATTGAGAAAGGAGCAGGCAACACAGCAGCAGATAGGTCAGGGTGCAGCAATAAGAGCAGCAGACAGTAGGGAGAAAAGGGCAAAGCAGCAAATTGGCAGGGGAAAGGGCTTGGAATGGTACTCGGGGAGAATACAGGGTTTCATTTGTGACACTCCTGACAAAAAAGGTTGGTCCCCACTGCACTGGAATAATAATATACAGGAGACCACAAAACAGTGCCTGGGATGGGTTACTAAACCTAAAGAGTAATAGCCAGAGCAAGAATAAATGAGCAAAATTTGGCAAAAGGGAAAGCCTTCAAGCACCTGTTTTCAGAGGAGTGCTATTCACACAGTTCCAGAGAGGAATTCAAACCTCAGCGACTCTGAAAATCAGCACTGAGTGAGACCTGCTGTGAATGCTGTGTGGAGGACAGAGAATGCTGGCACAGCTCACACTGCAAGTTAACGTGCGTGATGGGGCAGAGGAAAGGAACTCAAGGTCTTCCTTAGTTACGGGTACATACATATTTATATTTTGTTTTTGCTTTCAGATTTCAGATGGTGCCACCGTCAAAGTCCTTAAAAAGAAAACACCAGGTAACAAAGCAACCAAGAACTGTTTTATTTTGATTTTAATAAAAGGACTAAAGCCTAAGGATTAGTAATAACTTTGTACAGATTTTTGTTCCTGGTAGTTTGCATCTCAGGAAGACACTGTCAGAAACATGTCAGTTCACTGGAAATAAGCAAAACTATTTTAATCTGGCTGTGGGTCTGTGACAGACAGCAGAGCATCATGGGGAGGAGGCCAAAAAAAGGGACAGAAAAGTGGCAAATCACAGACACTGGGATGCTTAAAGATGCAGAGACTAAGCAAGACAAGGAAGCGTAAATCTCACAGGTGCACAGGCTGCCGAGAATGAGGTTGCACTGAGGACACTGAGCAGTTGGATAGCTATAGTAATAAGCAATACACAACAACTTCAGAGTCCTCCTTTTGTTCCATTATTCTCATTTGAAGCTGCTTAGGATTCCTGACTCAGCTGTTTCAATACACACTGGTAATTGCAGGATACACACAGGCGCAAAGCTTCCCTGCACTATACTCCAGGGATGCTGCTGGCTGATCTTGCTCTCCCATCCCCTATGGCATGCTTATCCATTTGCGGCCCATTTTTCGGAAAAGAAACCTTTTGCCTGTATGTGCTTTCCAGGGCAAAAGCTGACCTCGGCCTGCCTTCTAGGGCTTGACTGCATCACAGACTTTTAACCATGAATAAAACCTTGGAACTGCAGATTCCTCCCACACAAGGAGCACTTCATGCCAGCCTTGTGCTGGCACAGCTGTGCTCACCAAAGACAGGTGGAGGGTAAGGGTTTGGTAGTAGCGCTCCACCCATTTCTTCAGCTCCTCTCAGCTCATGTGCTGTTCAGGGACTAAGTGTGGCACTTCTTCACCTCAGGGCACCTAAGCTCTGGTTAGATTGCTTAGGAGTATACAGTGAGGCTTGGACTTCACGAGAGAAAAGTCAAAACATAAACTAGCCTTAAAAAATGCCCATTAATTTATGTGACTGATTGACTCTGATTTATTCTTTCCCTTCCCCCCTCCCCTTTCTGTTCTTTAGATGTGGATTACTCTGATGAATACTGTCATTTGGTGAGTTAAATGCAAAATTAAATGGCAGGTTTACTTAATGCCGAAAGATTGTGTCTGTATAACATCTATACTCTTTTACTGTAGATTTTACCAAACTCTGAAACAGTGAAAGATATTCAGGGAGCAAAAACCAAAGGAAAGCAGAAATTCAAAGTAAAAGAAATGTATCTGACAAAGCTGCTGTCTACCAAGGTAATCGAGAGTTTTATTTCAGGGTAGGGTTGGTCTTATGCTTAGCTCAGCACAAACAGAAATCAGGCTGGAAATTATGCAAATTCTGGGTATGGCAGTTAAAAATGTAAAGTTGCAAAATCACCCTGATAGCTACGGATTTTTACCCACTGCAGAAACCCTTCTGCATTTTAGACTGGCACAGTGAAACCCTAAAACCGAAGAGATAAAAGGTATCTATTAACACATTGCCCCAGTAGTTACAACCCTCCCTTTGTAGCATAAAGCCCTATAAATAATGGGGGGTTGGCTTGTTGAGTTTTTACATTTTTTTTCTTGTGCTTCCAGAAAAAGAAGAAAAAAAAAAAAAAGGAGGAGTTTTTGCTATTGATTTCCATAGATTTCAACCACTGGAGAGACAGATTTCAGCCTGAACTTTCAAAAGCCTGAGTTTTAGAAGCCCAACAAAAGAGACCTGATTTTCAGAGCACTGGCCATCTGCCTGAGAGTCAAGTGTCTCAAATTGGACCCTGAAAGTTAATTTTGAAATTTGAGATGATATCTCCTACAGTTAGGGTGTCTAATTCCCATGGTATACAACGTTAGGAGCAACAGCTGCTTCTTTCACTAAAAAATAATTTGTTACATATTAATGAGGGGTTTACTCTTTATCAATTTATCCAACAACATATAAAAACTCTTAGCAACAACGTATTCTTTTAAAATGTTATCAGTACATGTATTGGGAGAAATTCTATGCAGGTGTATAGATTAGATTATTATGGCCCTCCTTGCCTTATAAATCATCTAATATATAATTGCTTGTGGTATGCTAGTACCTAATGTCCAAAAAGAGAGGAGATGGGCCATGTGCCAAAGAGCCACAAAAGTGAATTATGCCCAAATGTTTCCCAAATGTTGGCCTAGTAACATCCAGTACTGGAAAACTGATCCACGAACTGTTTGCTGGGGAAGAAATACGTTTATAGGCGTGGGAACAAAAAAACAGAAGCAGTCTTTCAAATGTCTTTCAATTAATCATCTATTGAGGCTATGGCATTATGCTGCACATAGTAGCATTAGGATAAAGTAGTGCTTTGAGATTGCTGTGATAGAACTTGTGTGTCCCAGACATCATATGAAATGTCACTGTGTTGACCCCCTTTATGTGTGCACTGTAGTTGGCCTTGTTACTGCAACCAAAGTAGCCAGTACCCAGTCAGGAAGTTATCAGCAGGGGCTCTGGTTTTCTCTGATTAAAAACAAATCCCAATTTTCAGATTTAAAAAAGTAACCCCAAATCCACATTTTTCCATGATTAAAATCAAACACCACATTTTATATATAATATATGTGGATTTTGGGTTACTTTCTAAAATCTGAAAGTTGCCAATTTTCTTTATCAGAGAAAACCAGGATCCCTGGTTATCGGCAGCCCTATCTTGCCATTGGTCTTAAAAGTGGGATTCAAACCTTATTAAAAGGCAAAATAGAAAACAAAGGGGGGCATGTGTGTTTGCCACTGTATGTGGGTTAATAATACTCTATGAAGAGTGTCAGGGAATTTTTCAGTAAGTTTTCCTCTTTCCCTATTTTGTGAGGATTTTTCCTTGGCAAGGAGAGGGGTGGGGGTGGGGAGAGAGAGAGTTGTTTGTCTAGTTTTCTAAGTGACACCCAAAAATGTCATCTTAAATTCAGGCTATGGTTACAGCATAGGGACTGAGCCTGAGGCTGCTTTACCTACACCAACAGCTGCTGACATTGCTGAGCCAGCCCTCTGGTGTGGATGTATCTGTGAAAGCAGGAGTTTTTTCGCTACCAGTATTAAACAAGTTTTCCTAAATAACAGAAGCTCTGCAAAAAGGAACAGCTTCTTGGTGGCAGAGCTGCATCCAACAACAGAGGCTTTGTTGCAGAGCTGTGTTGTCTAGGGGATGTGATCTTTTCTTACCCCTACCTGACAGCTTTGCCAACAGAACTCTGCAGTGTAGACAAGGGTTAAAACTGAAACAACACCAAGCCATCAGCAAGGAGGAAAAACTGCAGATCCACTTGTAACACCACTAGACCTATGCTCTAGCCTAGAAATCTTAATAACATTTCTCCTGCTCCAATCCCCAAATAAGAAGAGTGACATATTGCAGATCAGATATCATTAAAGAGGGTAAAAACAGTATCTTAGAAAAAAAATGTTTGATGTTTTCTTGATGCATCATAAAAAGCAGGAGCAGCCACAAGCCATTCCTTCCATGAACGGTTCCCTTTTAAGCTTTACTACAATTTTCCCTGTTGACAAAATAAAGATACATAACTAGTGACACATCAGGGCAGCTCACAGTGATGTTTTCAGTTTCCTTTTTAGTTGCGATTATCCCATTTGTCAGTTTTACCCATACCTTAGATGTTTACCGCAAAGACATTTTGAGTTTCTAAGTGTAGTTCCCCTGGGGCGCATTTGCCCTCCCCCTCATCTCAAGAAGTCTTGTCCTTTCCACATAATAGTAGAATGACTCTTTCTTTTGCTTTTCAGGTTGCAATTCATTCCGTTGTCGAAAAGCTCTTCAGAAGCATCTGGAGCTTACCTAACAATAAAGCCCCTGTTGCTATCAAATACTTTTTTGACTTCTTGGATGCTCAGGCTGAAAGTAAAAAGATCACAGATCCTGATGTGGTACATATATGGAAAACCAACAGGTACTCTCTCTCTCTCTCTCTCTCTCTCTCTCTCTCTGTGTGTGTGTGTGTGTGTGTGTGTGTGTGTGTGTGTGTGTGTGTGTGTGTGTGTGTGTGTGTGTGTGTGTGTGTGTGTGTGTGTCCGTCCCGCACATACTTTCTCAGTGTATATTTGCAAAACTACAACGGGATGCTTTTAACCATGAGCATGAGAGTTGTTACAATAACAAGCCTGTGCCCTTAACCGCCAAGCTTTCTTACATAATCTGGGCATTACGTGGTGACCATATAGTGATGACTCAAAAGGAAGCAATGTTGCTATTAAGTGATATTTTTTCATAAAGCTCAGAAACTTTAAATCGCTCACTAACTTATCTTGGATCCCTGTAGTCCAGGGTTTTCCAGCCTTTTTTAGTAAATGTACCCCTGGCGGTTGGCCAGACTGGGGGGGCGCAGCTGGATGCAGAGCAGCGACAGCGCAGGGTAATGGATGATGTCAACAGCAGTGCAGAGGGGTGCTGCTGCCCTTGCCCCACCCCTGCTTCTGGCTGGGAGGGCAGTGGTGCTCCATCCCCTCACCCACACATACCCCCTAGGGCCTTGCCAAGTACCCCCAGGGGCACAGGTACCCCAGTTGACAACCCCTGATGTAGTCAAGCATGCATCTGCCAATAGGGTAACTGTAATACAGCAACTAGAGGGGTATTATGGTATAAAACAGCTTCTGGAATAAACAGTGGTGGGCTTGGCTGCTTTGCTAGCTTTGTAACGCTCACGGTCTTCCTCCTTGCAATAAATAAGCACCTCAGGGTTGTGCCTGTTTGGATAGTAGGCTACAGGCCAAATATTGTCTTTTCATTTGATTGGAGCTGTTGAATTAAAACTGCTTGTTCTTTCTCTGACCAGTCTTCCTCTTCGCTTCTGGGTGAATATACTGAAGAACCCCCAGTTTGTCTTTGATATTAAGAAGACTCCACATATAGATGGTTGTTTGTCAGTAATTGCACAAGCTTTCATGGATGCCTTTTCTTTAACAGAACATCAGCTGGGGAAGGTAATGCTTGGCCTTCTTGGTTTCCTGAGCAAAAAATATTTTTAACCATGCAATATTTTAGGGGTAAAGCCCCAAATAGGGGTGCACTGATAGAGGTTTTGGGGGCCGAAACCAATAGCCAATATTTAAGGAGGCATGTTGGCAGATACCAATCCGATTTCTGATACAGCTGTCTCCAGCTGGTAAGTCTGGTGTGATGAAAGGGACATGCGGGGGGCAGATCAACGCCTCCCACAGTGAGTTAGGGGGCAGGCACTGCCCAGGCGGAGCAGGGAAGGGGTGGAGCCACAACTCATGGGGGGTAGGGGGAGGTGGCTCCCGCCACTGCTTGCGCCCTGGGATGGGAACAGGGGGCGCGGGCCACGTGCCCCTTGGATCTGCGCAGGGCAGAGTGGAGCTGTGCGGGGCTCTTCTCAGCAAGGGCTGGGCTCAGACTGGGCACTGGCGGCACTGGGAGGATGCTGCATCCACCCTAAATTTAGCTGCTGCTCCTCTCCAGGCGCCGCCACTGCCAGCCACAGCCCTGGCTCAACACCCCACCTCTGCCCACACGCCAGGTACCTATCTGATATCGGACCAATGTATCAGTGCACCTCTAACTCCAAATACTGAAGTCAATGAAAGGCAGAACTCCTATTTTCTTAAAAAAGGCCAGAATTCCATTGCGTCTCAAACAAAAATATGGAATTGAATAATCCCAATGGATAAAGTCAATGAAGGATTTCACAAGAAAATGTCATATTTATTCTCAGTTTGATTGGAAAGTCGAATCTTTCTGTAAAATGTTAGGGCAGCATTCAGCTACGATTGCTGCATAGCTGGCAAAGTGCCTAACGGTGGAGATGTTATACTGTTCTCTTTGCAATGTATTGACTGCTTACCTGAATATATCATAACCTCTTTGATTTGAGGCATCAGTCTGTAAAACTTGAAAAGACGTGTTCTATCATGAAATTTCTAGAACATCTTGAATTATCTGTCAGAAATACTTCAGAAATAGTTGGAGGGGGGTGGGGGGGTCTGCCAATACTTCCCCTTCTTCTGCCCCCAGACTGGAAGTATATGGCTAAAAAAAATTAACTACACATTTTTGAGCCTAAAAGCATGTTTCATATAAAAAAGAGTCATTTCTTATTTCATCTGAACTGCTTTGGCCATCCATAAAAGTTGAATTAAAAAAAAAAGAAAATGTGTTTCTATTTGACTATAGGACTTGAGATGTCTTGAACTAAAACTAAATACACTACTGGTTTGATGGAAAACACCAAACCACTGAACATTTAAGACTTTGCTTTGTTACACTTATGCTCACTGTTCTATGGACCATTTCCCTTATAAACCTGCTGATACAATGGCTTGTGTTGGTTACATGCATTAAGAATGCAGTTCTAGAATTGAAAACACCATAAAATATTTGCATTATTTTTTACAGTTATAAATTTAAAAACTCTTCAATTACTTGGAAAAGAGCATATTTTTAACATTTAAAAGCTGCTGCTGATATTTTAATTATAAGTGCACACAATATTTAAAATAGTCATTACTGAAAACTCATAACACTATCGTATTCCTGATGGATGGAAGTCCATTGCCCGGCAGGGTTTATAAAGTTCTTCCAGCAGGTATCTAGGGAAGCCTGAACAGCCACTTCCCATATTCTGTATATAATTTCAGCTTTCAGAAGCCTTAAATTGCCTGAAAAATAAGTACAGTGTACTGAAGGGGCAGATATTTTAATTAATACTCCTGAGACCAGTAGAAATAATTATACACTAGCTGTCATGCAATACAATGCTTTGTGTTGCTAAAGCTCAGCATTTATTCCATGTCTTGCATTTCAGAAATAATCTTGGCTCTTAGCGTGTAAGCACTGCAAACCAAATGAATCAGACAAAAAGGAAAATGCAGCAAACACACTACTCAACTGTGTGGAGGTGGCAAATGTGTGCTGTTAAACTTGACCATGCTTCAGAATTATGTTTTTCTTTTAAAGGAAGCACCAACAAATAAACTTCTCTATGCCAAGGATATTCCACTCTACAAGGAGGAAGTGAAAGCTTACTATAAAGAAATCAGGGATTTGCCTCCATTGTCCTCTTCAGAAGTAGATGACTTTTTAATTCAGGAATCTAAGGTATTGTTAAGTAGACACTTTACCAATTTGTTGTGCTTAAAAGAGAAGTGTCTCACCAGCTCTTTCTTCTGTTGCAGAAACATGAAAATGAATTCAATGAGGAAGTGGCCTTGACTGCAATCTACAGATACATAAAAACCTACCATGAGGAAGTAAGAATACACATTGTTTCATCTTATTCCATTCTAGTGTAGATTGGCGTTTTCAGGCTTGGATGTAAGACTTCACAAGTTAAGCGAGGTACAGCCCGGGCAATACCTGTCAGACCTTCCAGCACAGGGGTTAACAGCCTATGGCCTGCAGACATAGGGCTTCAGTGGCACACACTTCTCTTTTTCATCTTGCTGCAGCAGCCAGGTACTGGTACCTGCATTCCTCTGACCTGCACTGGGTCATTTCAGCCTGCAACCTGAAAAGGTTGGTGACCACACTTCTGGCACATCAAATATGGTTGTTAATGATTCAGCAGGTGTCAGTCCTTGAATCTGCACAGAATGAATGCCCAGCAGGAGAGTAACTTGCCCAGATGAACTGTACAACTCAATTCAAAACGCATCTTGTCTCCTGCCATCATATTTTTTCACACAAGTGTATTTAAATTCTCCCTGAAGCTCCAGTAAGACCCTGTATTCTACAGTGTCTTAGGATTTGTGTTTCACTTATTGATTCTGGATTCATTCTGCCAGATCAGAGTTGTCCAACTAGCGGCTTGCAAACCACATGTGGCCCTTAAGGGGTTAAGCTGCAACTCATGTGCTCCAGTCTGAGGACTGCTCTCCCCATTTCTTTCCTGTGGATGCTGACAGGGTGTCCAGGCTCCCCTTCCCTCTTTCAGCTTTCTCTGCCTGCCTCCACCCCTAGAGGAGGGCTCAGGGCAGCATGGGAGCACTGTGTTGGTACAGTGAAGGCTAGGGGGTTGCAGCCTGGCAGGATGCAGCCCCTGCTCACTCTGACGTTGGGCAGTCCTGTACCTGATAATGTAAGATTGGACTCTGTCATTGATGCTGTAGCTATTACTTTATTAAAGCCAACTGCATAGAGTAAATTCCTTACCAGGGCATTGCAGCAAGTGTTCTGCTCCTGGTCACGACTAGTTTTTTGCTATCCTACCACACAATGCCTGCCCTTTTTCTGATGAAGGCAGTTTCCCAAGTTGCTAGTCTTTCCCCATGCCAGCTGTAGCTATCAGAAGTACTTCCTCATCCTCCAGATTTAAGCTACAGACCACTTTTAGATTTTGGCGAGTCAGCTTCTTCCTAGGAAAATCCCTACCCACCATTGTGGCTGAGGCCCCCTGGTTCTTCTGTGAAGCCCCATGTGCTACTTCCAGGACATAGTACACATGATTACCAGTAGTTTACAGAGAAGGGCAGAAAAGGGAGCAATTTGAAATGAAGCTGTCTACCTCACAGAAGAACGATGGCACCAGGCTTGCCTCATGTTTAGTAAATGAGCTTTGTGGGTTGTTTTTTTTAATTGGAATTGCTATTTTCAGTAGAAGTGTTGTAGGTGTTATAGATCCTGAGATTATAATGACTTGTAAAGAGAGGTACTAAATTAGCATGTTAATGTTAAAAGAAAATGTTATATATAGGCACAAGTTCAGACAGACCTTACCACTAAGCTGTTCTGAAGATGTGACTTTAAAAAATTAAACAAGTACCAACCACTAAATCTCTCTTTCTTGCCCTCCCTTCCCCTCCTCTTCCCCTTCCACCACAACCATAAACAGATCCTGACTAAGCTAGAGAGAGACGGGGGACAAGAGGAAGCCCTGAAGCAGTTGCTGCAAGTAAAAGCCTTATTTGATGAAAAGAAAAAATGCATGTGGATGAGAACAGAGCACTGCTGAGATGTGGCAAATTGCTAAAATAGAGCTACTGGTACCATAGTCAGGTTGGGAGGCTGTATGGATAGTGAGCTGTTGTTCACCACTTTTACCATTTAAACTGTTGTTTAAGTGTAAGACATCAGAGAAGAAGGTCTGTTGAGCTAGACTGTCAAATATCGGCAGGTGCAAATGTGTGTGAATGTAACGCCTATGCATGCAGCCTCCTTGGCATACACTTACTTGTGTGCCCATTCACCCGGGCTTGAATAGCTGGCTGAAAGAAAGACTTAAAAAACCTTAAGGCAAACCTGCAGAAACCAATGCTCCCTGTGCAAGTGAAGAGAAACTTCCTTGTGAGAATGGCTTTTGTAGGCCTGCCACCTGGTCAATCTGTGAGGGTAAACTATGGTCTTAAATCATGATTTTAATTCCAGGGCTTGTCCTTTCTTTCTCCTACACACACAAATATGCAGTTATGTTTACACACATGAAAAAGTATCACCTAGGACACCTTTAATATTAGTACAAGTGTAGGGCAAGTCTCTCCAGGGCCTAAAATGTGAAAGTCTCCTTTTCTTTAAAGTAAATGGTATTTATCTCGTTTTATAAATTCCAAGTAGATTATACACAGAATGAAAGCCCTCCTCAATTGGCTGTTTCAAGGACATCTCATCTTTCATTGGCCATTGTTGATGACCTCTTACTACTACCATTTCTTTTCATCTAGTTGTAAATGTACCAACCCATTCTGGAGGAGCTGAATGTTTGATACTGTGGAAATAAACACATTGCATCACATCGTCATTATTTCAGGGACCAAATCAAACAGTGTTAAATCTATCTCCCAAGATAGAGAAAAAGTTAGTTTAGTCCACGCCATTTTCATTAAGTAGTTCACAAGTTTCTTAACTGTATAAAGCTAGCAGTTTTCCTGATAGCATGAATGAAGTGTTCTGTTCGTAAACTAAATGTTATTTTTAGAATTAGGGGCTGGAAGTGGGGGGTGATAAAAGTCTAGCATAATTTTTATATTGTTCGGCACAATGTACTACTATTGCTATGTATAGCACATCTGGGATTTCCCAACAAGGTCGTTGCCTGACTGCCTTATCTAACCCTTGATTTTTGTAACTACTCAGTGCTCCAGGATTAGCTCAGGTGAAATGAGGGAGCACCCTACATTCCAATTAGGCCCGAGGCAGAAATCCCAAATACAGTGCAGTCCCAGTATAGCACATGCAGGGCTTCAGCCCTGAAATGACATGAGCGAGGTCCTGCCTACAGTACACAATGTGTCCATGTCCTCCGACTCAACTAAAAACGAGTCACCCAGTTGCCTGCTATCTGCAAAGGATTTGTGAACTCATGCCAAATGTTTTAAGTGAATTACAGAGCGAGTGCTATGCTGATGTTCCACTTCATCATCAGCCACTCATGGGGCAGGGGCAGAGGTGTAGATAAGGGGGAAGAGGTGTTCTGTATCTACTTCAAGGGTGATGCTTGTGCAAAGCCCCTAAGTTTAGCTTGGAAATTCTAGGGCTCAGAGGAGGTTGTGTAGATGAGCCAACAGCTCAGTTTGAAGTCTTGGTAGTAGCAAATGCCTCACTGATGGAACAGAAGCTGCAGAGCAGACCAGATTACCAGAGCTGGTATTTTTGTAAGAAATGCTGGTGGCTGGTCAGGCATGCCACAAAGATTTGTGAAATGCTAATTACCCACTCACTGGTAGCAGCAAAGCCTCTCTGGCACTTAGCTTTGCTCTGTCTGACACTTGCACAAGTTCCATCCTGTACCCATTCAAAAAAAGAGCCATTAATAATTCTCACTTTGGCTTAGTAAGTGTAGATTTTAATTAATCTTCCACATTTAAATATAAAATTCATGTCATGTGTTAGAGCAGTGTTGTAGCACTGTTGCTAGAGGAAAGTTCAGTGCCTTTAGGGGTTTCTTTAACTTCTTCAGCAAGATTCCTCATGGCAATTTTTTCTTGTGGTATTTGCCAAAGCAGAAAATTGATTTAAATTGTTGTTCTAATTTAATGTGAACTTAAGTTAAAAATGAGCTTGTTACACACAGTGTTAAAGTGACTCAGTATTCAATCTAGGCTCTGAGTAGTGTTCCCTCACCACTGCATTAGCAACTCTGCTTGGTTGTTTTAGAGATTTAATGTTCCTAATTACTCTTCTGTATTAAATTACATCTTTTTGTTGAAAAGGAAAACCATGAGGTGTTCACTCTTTCCTATTTAGTCAGACATCTTAAAAGTTCAGTCCCAGGTCAGTCATTTGTGCTTTTGAAGGAAATGTGATCATTTCACGTACAGGAATACCTTAGATAGATTTCAGAGCAGGAGGAAAGAGACTGCCTTACAAGAATGCTGCAGTTGGAAGGGTAGAAAATATTCTGCAGGAAGCTCCATAAGGTATGCTCTGGTAGAGAGGGCAAGGCCCTATCACTGCACATTTATATAAAAGCAGAGGGACCAAAAGCAATCCTAGTCTTTGTGCCACTGGCTGGTAAATAAATGATGAACCAGATTGTGAGTGTAGTTGTACCATTCATGCCCCTTCAGCAGCCTTAAATCATGTGTGTTGGGATTTACCAAGCTGTGAAGTAGGTTCTCCAAGTGGTGGTGTAAAGTATAATTACAAGAGTCCTTTGGTAAACGTGTGTGAGTTTATAACACTTGGAATGCACTCAGTATTTGCAGTCCACTGGTGGTGTTTATCTAGAGGAAATGAACTGTCAGTTCAGAGGTTTGTCTACAGCAAATCTGTGAATAAAGCCATGTTATGGCAATCTAGTAAATGTAACAGCTTTGTATGTCATTGAGACCAAGGTGTACTTAACTTATTTTCAGAAGTTTACAGGCAAAATAACTTACTTGCAAACAATATTTTTTCTAACACTAGCTTACAAAGCATTATTTTGCAGCCAAGATAATGTAGAGTTAAACCCTACTAACATGTAAAGTACTTTTTGCTGTATAGAACTTAAGCTATTCTTTAATATGTTTTTAATTAGTGCATATCCAAGATACATTTGGTGTGTGTATGGCTTTATTTAGAATAAAAAATACGCATTTGAAAGTTGGTCAACTCACCTGTGTCCTTGAGTGTGCTTAACACTATCTGGGATTTTAAGTGTGCTTGGTTACTTAGCAGGGAAGTGGAAGGCATCTCAGAAAAACCTAATTTCTAGCATGAAATGAACATCAGAATATAATATGCTGCCAGTCAACCTTATCGAGGTTTGCAAAACTGTCTCTAACCTATAATGTGAATAAACAGGCCTCTCACTTTTTAAGGACGGCAGTCTCAGAATCCAGGTATGTCATTTCCATTGAGGAGAAGGTGCAAGGGGCCCCATGCTCCATGGGAGAAGAAAGGTACAGCATCTTACCTTCTGCCTGCACAATAATTTTCCTGTAATTAATTTATGTGCAAGATCTCCCCCAAATCACCACCAGCTTCTACAGTAAAATCTCTGTTATCCAGTACTTCATCAACCAGAATACTCTAACTAGAGTTTCCAGCCAGCTGGCCAGACACGGGGGAAGCTCGCACATGACTGCTGCTGGTGCTGTTGCCCCCCTGCCCCCCATCAGAAAACCCCGCCAGGTTTTTTCAGATAACCAAAGTTTTTACATTACATAACCAGTAATCCCCTTACTCTGGGGATGCCAGGTAAGAGAATTAACTGTATTTTTACCCCTACATTTGACATCCACAAAGGCCTCCCACTTGGTACACATCTTCATTTGTACTAAATTTGGGAAACCTACCTCAGATACAAATAAGGACTGGGTTAGTATTCCAGACTATTCCTCCTGAAGTTTTCAGTGACAGCTTCTACTATTTTAAACAATTATACTGCTGAAGAATATAGCTTATATTCTGTAGAAATGGTGTGTATAATTTAAGACTTTTTTTCCCAGAAAAACATATTATAATACTCAAATGTACATGATCTATGGGAAGCTGGAAATGCAGATGGTGAAGAGAAGAGTTTGGATAGATGCTACTGGAAAAGTGCCAGATCATGTCATTAGCCACTCAGTCTTCTGCTCACTCTGCAGTATTTATCTGAAAGGGATGCATTTTTAAACAGTATGGGATAAACCATTAAAAAAGAAAGTAATGCTCCTGTTTGGTCAACCACTGCACATGCTCATAGCTGTTTTTAGAATGCGAGTGAAGAACTGTTACCACACTAGTAGGAAGATTTTTACTTACTCATTATAAAAAATCCACTGAAATTCACTGAAGTCAGAGAGGGAAATAATACAAGAACAAGTGGAGAGGTAAGAAAATATATTAACCCTTGAATAGATAAATATGTTAATGATAAGTAAAACAGACACACAACCCATTAGCTACAAATACAAACTTAGGATTCCTGAAAAAAGGCAAATATGCATATGTCTACAATGCAGCATTTGTTAAAAACTTGATTATTGCTTCTCTCATAATTGAGTCATGAAAGAGACTTGGATTGTCATGAATAGCAAGTCCACTTTTTGGCCTGCTTTCCTCATCTGCCCTTCTGCATGTGCTAGCAGCCAAACATAAGTCCAGCCTCTCTCTTCACTTGTTTCCAAGAGTTGTCTGGAAAAATTACTGGGAATAACTTGTGTTGTGTTTTTTTAAAAACAACATGTTAACACGATCCAAAAAACCTTAATAAATATTCTTTAAAAGGCTTTTACAACACGATCTTTCTATATGCTTTATTTTGGTATATATAAATAATTAATTTGGAAGACAATTTTTTCTTAGTTTTTCTCTCAAGTTAGTGCTTAACAAACCATTATGTTCTATCAAAAATACATAGAAAACTATGCAGAATATATTTCTTCTAGTCTGATGCACATCCATATGTTTGTGGCAAAGTACTAAAAAGCACTTATAAGGAAGCAGCAATTAAATCTTGTACACTTTATTTGGAGTCCTCATTTTGCATGTTGTCCTCTTCACCTATCCTGTTTCTGCCAGCATCACTGTGCAGTCCCAGCCTACCTCGCTCTCCAGATGGCCCAAGCTCTTGGAGTTGTTTTCTCTGTGTGGTTTCTAGCTCTTCCAGTCGCTTGCGAAGCAAGGAAAGCTCCCTTTGATGCTGCTCCTCCTTGAAGTTATGGACAAACCAAATAATTAGATTTGTACTTTTTTACAACACTTACAGGCCCATTGTTGGCAACCCATGTCCTCTGTAAGTAACTTTACAAGTCCCGTTTTTTAATGTTCTCAAGTCCTGGAGCAATTTCATGAAACAGAAGATACTCCAGTTTTCAAGAAAGAGTTGTTCTACATCAATAGACTGCCCATGCTGCTCTCAATATTACCTATACATCAGTAACTTCAGATTGCAAAGATGTACTGAAGGAATCAGATTTGCTGTGAGGAGATGCATTTTTCAGTGTCTTCATATAAATCTGAAAGTTAGTTCACAGACTGGACAACACTCTTTCCTTTGTAGGTTTAAGTATCCTGTACACTGACAATGCAGGCAATTGGACAGAAATACAATTACATAAAAAATTGTGTGTGTGTGTGTGTGTATGTGTGTATATATGTATGTGTGTGTGTGTGTATATATGTGGACAGGATACTTAAATGTACAAAGGAATGAGTGTTGTATATATAAAATACCTCTTCTGGTCACTATTTGTATTTCTGTCAAATTGCCTTTTTATTCCAAGATATAAAATAATAAATTTGAGTCTGTATAACATTCATTTAATACATCCTCACCTGCAGATGCGGAAAAGAGACTTCAGGCACAGGGATCAAGGTAGATGACATTATACTGACTGGATTGAGTGACGGTATGTTAGGAACCAGAATTAAACTCCGGAATTCATTGTGTCTGCGCTGCAGATCCTTTAGCCTTTTCTGAAGACGTGTGTATTCTTCATAGGGAACGTTCTGTCTATGAAGTAAGAGATTGGACTTGCTCAAAACATTGCATCAGAAGTACATCTGTCCATCTTGCATGCTGCTAGCCAGTTTCCTGTGGGTGATGATGACTTGTAATGGAAGTGTATGTATATCCCCATGGTTCTTAATCTTTTTAGATTCAAGTTACTCTTCCATAACTTTTGCAAGTGGAGTAGCACCCAGTTTCAAAAACTAATATATATATATATATATTACAGTGCTTACTTCCTTGCAAAGGGGCCAGGCACTGGGAGTGGGGGATTGGTCAGACTCTGCCAAGCCTGAGCCTGACCTTATCTGCTTATCTTTTCACACCCTGCTTTTCTCCTCACACCTCACGGCACCCTTCAGAGAATCTGGCGCTGATTGAGAATCACTGGTATATCCCATACACAACTCAAGTGTAAGGCCTTTATGTGTGTTCTTTCCAAATGTGCAGGCAAAAATAATATTCATGCCTGAGCTGAATTAACTAATGCCTTAGAAACCCAAATTAGCTCAAAAGGGAAAACAGAAGAGATTTTTAAGCATTTATACTTAGCAAGAAGCATTACATGGAAGACTGAATTTTTAAAATTAAAGGCAAATTAGGAAACTCAAATACTAATTAGTGAAAGAACCAACACCTCCCTTATCTTTTTCCAATGTGTTTTAATCTTGTATTTAATAAAATATAAAATTATTATGTATCTTACAATATACATTTCTGCAGGGTTCTTTTTTCCTTTCTGCTCTCTTTGACATCTACAATACTGCTAGATGCAGTGTCTCTTCGTTACTAACCTCCTCATTACCACTCTACCCTGATTAATACTTCCCTTGAATCCAGCTCTCATTGCTGTCTTCAAATCTCGCTCTTCCTTCCCTACACTTGTTCAGTGATGAAATAGCACTAAATAAGAAAAGGGTCACACTCTGTGCAGCCCACCATCTGTTAACTGACCAGTACATCAGAGCTCGGCTGACTTCAATAAGGCTTCACTCATGGGGAAACTGCTTCAGCAAGTACAACTCAATTGAACTCAAGTGACTAAACTGCCCATAATGTGCATGCCCTTCAATATTTTGGCACTGGATATATTTTGTACAGCTTTTGGGCTGTACTGCCTCTTCATTCAAAAAAATTACGATGACCAAACAAACACACACACAATTCCACAGCCATGGTTTCCAGGATCATGTCGAACAAAAGTAAGATTTTCTTACCGATTTAACACCTGGTTTTCTGTTTCTAGTTCTTCTCTCTTGGCTTCCAAGAGTTCTATTTTCTCCTGCAGTCTCTTTTGTTTATTGTCAGTGAGAGCCTTTCTCTGTCAAACAGAAAACACATTGACTACTTACAAGCTGTCAAGAACTGTCTTATTCAGATTAAGTCAAGTCTAAATTGCATTTGCCCTTATTCAAAGACTCAACTAGCTTATAAAGAGATTCAGTTTTATTTCAAAGGGCTTATTTCATACATTTATTTTTCATTCTCTCTCTGATTTAGAACAGTGATGAATGAAAACAAAATGCTTAGCATCCTCAAATGCCAAGTGCAGAAGGAAACAAACCGATTAAGTTACTGAGTTTTGTAAGTCATCAGCTGGAAAACTATTAACACTACTTTGCATTAGACAATGACACAATTGGATAATCTCATCAAAGTAGTGCATGTTTAGAAATATGAATTGGAAACTATAGAGACTATTCCCACTCCAATGTCACCAGCAAGCGCTGTAGATGCTGACTTTTAAATAAGAAAATTAGAGCACAGACTCACAAGCTACTAGCTTTGGAACAGCCCTCATGAGATCATGTAGCTCAGGAATGCTCAATCTCTGGCCCCCAGACCAAATGCAGCCTGCAGCATCATAAGTATCTGGCCCATGAGGGCCCCCCCCCCCCCCAAAACAGGAAATGGGGGGGGAGGGGAAAA